GAAAACCTTCCATGAGTCGGGTTTTATCTTCAGTGTTTGAGACATTGTTTAGCTATTCTCATCTCACGTCAAGTGACAATCCGAAATAACTAATATCGTTCTTGCGATCAATTTACTAAATGTGTACTATTCTTGGCCAAAAGTTTTAATGTTGGTTAGAGGTGGAAAAGAAAGAAAGACTGCAAGCGAAATGCAATACGAGGGTCAAGGTAAGTAGATGTTAGATTAGGCATCGAGTGAAGTTTTAGGGTCCAGATAATTGAATAACATTTTATTTTTTTGGTCTTTCAAACTCACATGAAACATGTGTAAATTTAACGAGAGATTCTGCCTGGATATTAAGAATATAGATATATCTCCAAAAAAACATTGAAGAGATTCCCTATCTCATCCATGACCCATCATTCTTCTTGTCTCACTTAACACTTACACGAAACGAGTGCACATCTCCACTCTCTATAACTCTCAATCTCACTCTCACTCGCACTCTCAATCTCACTCTCACTCGCAGCTCACGTGATGAATATGATAGTTGTTGAGTTTTTTCCAGCCCATGATAAGTTGTCATAAGTCTATTGGGAATTAATAGTCTTAGAGGATTAAATTGTTTTCCCAATTGGAGTTGTTTACCCAATTGGAGTTAGTTTCTCAATTGGAGTAGGATTCATAACTAGATTCCAATTAGGATTAATAATCCTTATTGAAGAAGACATGTATTATGTCTATATAAAGGGGCTATTGTACTAGTTTTGAGGGGGGAGCAAAACAATAAATTGTATACCACTCAAGGGATTAGAGTGAGAGAATATTGTAAAGTGTGTGTGAGAGAAAAGAAAAGAGATAGTGTATTTCTTATTTTTGTTCTTTCAGGTTTTTCGTCAAATCCTAGTTCTAGAGATTTGGCAAGATTATTGGTTGTACTCATTATTGATATAGTGAAAGATTGTTGTTGTTGTCTCGTGGACGTAGGCACGTATTGCCGAACCACGTAAATTCTTGGTGTTATTTATGTTGGTTATTTGTTTTTTGATTCCGGAGTTTGTTCTTATTTTTCCCATTCTTAAACGCGATATTCTCAACAAGTGGTATCAGAGCCTGATTTGGTTGATATCCGTTTAGAATGGAGGGTGCAACCCGCTTTAATTGGGTTACATGGAAATCAAGAGGAGGACATGCTTTACTGAAGGTGTTAAGAGCAAGCCAGCAAGTGTGTTTGATGCTGATTGGACCAAGATGAAGATAAGCGATGTTTTCTGACAAAGAAGTCTATAATTGCCTTTGCCAATGATGATGGTAGTTCTGATCAGGGAGAGCCTGGTCAAGAGAAATCTAATCAAGAGGGTATTGGTTAATGAATAGTTCGATCAGGGGGAGCTTGGTTATGGGTAATTCGTTCAGGGAGAGTCTGGTCATGAAAAATTCGATCAATGGGAGTTTGGTCAAGAGGAGCAATCCTATTATGGTATACCTTCCTCATGGTTTGGAGGGGGAGATTGTTGGGTTTTTTCCAACCCATGATAAGTTGTCCTAAGTCTATTGGGAATTCATAATCTTAAAGGATTAAATTGTTTTCCCAATTGGAGTTAGTTTCTCAATTAGAGTAGGATTCATAACTAGATTCCAATTAGGATTAATAATCCTTATTGAAGAATACCTTTATTATGTCTATATAAAGTGGCTATTGTACTAGTTTTGAGGGGGGACCAAAACAATAAATTGTATACCACTCAAGGGATTAGAGTGAGAGAATATTGTAAAGTGTGTGTGAGAGAAAAGAAAAGATATAGTGTATTTCTTGTTCTTGTTCCTTCATGTTTTTCGTCAAGTCCTAGTTCTAGAAATTTGGCAAGATTATTGGTTGTACTCATTATTGATATAGTGAAAGATTGTTGTTGCTATCCCGTGGACGTAGGCACATATTGCCGAACCACGTAAATTATTGGTGTTATTTATCTTGGTTATTTGTTTTTCGATTTCCGGAGTTTGTTCTTGTTTTTCTCATTCTTAAACGCGATATTCTCAACAATAGTAGCATAAATGTACGCTATACAAGTGATATCTAAGATTTCTCTTGAGAATAAATTTACTAATTAGTGTGCACTATCCTTAACCAAAGGCGTTATAATGATGATTAAAGGCTAAAAAGAGGGTCAAGGTAAGTAATCAAAATGTTGGATTAGGGCAGTGGGTGGATGGAGGTAGGGTTGGAAATAGAGAGATTCTCAGTTGTTTGTTTTTGAGCCAGACAAGGACATGGTGACAGAGGGCCTTTGATATGATCAATCATCAAGGGTGATTGAAGTCCACAAGAGGTAGAAAGAGACAAGTGGACCAAACCCTAAATTTCTCTCTTTCTTTCCTGTTTTTTTTCCAGGATCCTGAATCCTTTAATTACATCCGTTTATCGTACACCATGCGATAAAAAATTATTGTAAATTTTTTTATTTAAAATTGAATATAAACAGTACCTAACAAAAACTGACTGCACGATATACGATAAATAAATGTAATTAGATGATCCTCACAAAGAGGATCCGACAAGAATGCTCTCTCCCTTTTTTATCTTTGCATATCTTACAATAATGGAGCCACTATGAATAGCTCACGATTTGACCACACATGTTGAGAATATATCGATCGCGAAATGAGAAAATTTGTGTGGACTTATAAGTTATAAGCAGTTTGACTACTCTCCTATTACTAATTGATGTTATGATGAAACTTAAACTTTTTCATTGTATCACTAACAGAGCAAGTTGTTTCATGTGTGAAGTCAAACGGACCACACGTGCTCCACATTATCCGATTTGTGTTATTCACATCCTAGGCTCGAAAATTTACCATAAGTTTGGGGGGTGTTCAGAGTATTAATCCCATATCAGGGAAAGAAGAGACATTGTATGAACTTATAAGTAAGTTGGATTACTCCTCATATTGTCAATTGTTTTTATGGTGAAACCTCAACTTTCTTCAACACAAGGCTTCCAAGTAAAAAAAAAATGACTTATATAGAACCAGTTCACCATTGTTCTAAAGTTTCAATATAATAATATAATGTTATGAGTAAATTTATTTTTACATATCATTGCATTATTAAACTAAAATATTACGTGATGACAGTAAATATGTTTCATGCAAATAACAAGTTGCTGCCTGGAAGCCAATAAGCTCACAAGAATTGTTGTCTCTTTGGACAACCAAGTGCCTTAAATCATGTGATTTGTTGTTTGCCCATTTAGTATTGTTGATGGAAAATCCATAGCTTAGTCAATTATTAATCCATGTGGACCTTGTTGAAAGGCCAAGAAGAACCATTGATTGGAATCAAGAGAGGCAATCCAACGGCTGGGATTGAAACTCATATGTTATTTATTAAAGCATTGTTTGGGACACAAGAATCTGGTGTAAATATTTAGGTTGTTAGTGTTGCCTGTGGCCAGTCATTATCGGTCCTTAATGCAATGCATGGAATTTGCTACAGAGCAAAATCTAATAGCACCAAGTGGGTGGGCAACTGTTTCTATGCATTAATTAAGGGCTAAATTGTGTGTGTGTGCATATGCAACTCTACATGTATCTTGTTAAAGACAAGGTTTATCGGCGGCACACTGACTTAAAAAAAAAAAAAAATTGTCTTATAACCGGTTGTAAATTTTTTTTTTTTTTGTCGATCTTCTTCATCACGTGAATCAAGTGATTAGAGTGAAAAATCACATTAACTCTTACTTTTTATCTTCTTGACACGAGAAGCTTTACATGTATATGTATAGTGACCTACAGTATAAAACTTATCTTGTAATCAACTATACATTTCTTCAGTCAAACTCATTAGTCACGTAATGAGAAGAGATACGTTGAGTCTCACCTTCTTAGATTTTAGCCAGCTCATTCAATTGTCTTTATTTTCACATGACACACAAGAAGATAACTAAAATGGTATGCATTGGTACGTGACTAGGGAGATAAACACAAAGAAATGTAGCCCTAACTTTAACAAAGATTAATAGAATAATACAAGGAAAAAAACAACTCTCTTTTCACATGATACAACGAGGAGACAACTATAAAATTGTATGCATGGGTACTTTATCAGAGAGACATACACAGAGAAATGTAGCCCTAATCTTAACAAAGGATCAATAGAAGAATAAAAGGAAGAACAACTCTTTTGTCACATGACACACGAGGAGACAATTATAGAATCGTATGAATTGGTACTTGATCAGGGAGACAAACACAACAAAATGTACTCGTAGTTAAACAAAGGATTAATAGAAGAACAACTTTTTAGCCAAAATGATTCTTGAGATTATCATAACTCTTCAGTTTGGTCTCTGAGATTGTCTGTCGTCAATTATTTTGGTCTTTCTGTGAAAAATCTCTATTAAATTGAAAAAATCACAAGTTCAAAAAGATGGGTTGATATGAAAAAAAAATATCTTCAATTTAACGAAGAGTTCTCACGGAAAAACCAAAAGATTAATAATGGACACTCTCAGAAATCAATTGTATTGATTTTAAATCGAGAAAACAACTCTATCATCAAAGAAATGGCTTTGGAATTTCGTGGTAGAGAAGGGATTTGGATCCTCTCCTCTCCATTAGCTCAGGAGAGGATCCAAATCCGTAGAGAAGGTATACTCTTGTTGCATGGGATTGAAGAACACAATGTCATGGGCAGTGAAACACAGACAGTAGCCAGTGTGGGAAAGGAACGGATGGAAGGACTCCTAGCTGGAAAGGCCGGGTTTATCGGATCCTGTCCATTGAGCAATCCCAAAAACTACACTTGGTAGGGAAGGGAGGTGGCATCCCTTTATTTTTTTTTTTCACACTCTCGTTTTCTGCTTCGACATACTTCCTCTTATTTTTGCCGCTTGATTCAGCTTTGATTTATATAATTTGGAAACCCGAAAAAAGGGAGTGTGCAGAAAAAGAAAATGAACGTGAAAATCGCCTCCCGACAAAATACTACAATCTCACAATCAAAGATAAAGGAATGGAAAATTGAAAGTGACTTGTCCAATTGATTTGATGCCATACTTTAAAGAAAGAGAAGCGAAGATGTTCAACATGAAAATTGAAAAATAATTAATATTTCATAGAAATAAATGTTCCAAAAATAGATAGAAATCCTACTAATAATTGTTCTAAACCCCAACATGTTGGTAATGTTGGAGAAGCCTATTGGCTTCCCTGAGGCCACTCAAGTAAGCTCCATGGGTTGTAGAGTAATGGGTTCTGTGTGTAGCCTCCCCTGCAAATAAAATTTGAAGTGGAGGAGGTGAAGAACTAGTGGCACTGCCAGAATCATCAGATGGCAATGGCTCTGCCATGCTGTCCAAATCCTCACCGCTTGATCCAACTGCTACATATGAGTATGATCCCAGAAACAGAGGATCACTAGCCCATTGACTCTTCAAAACCTTGGAAAATTGTACTGAATTCCCCTCTGGATTCCCGTTCCCATTGCACGATTCATGGGAGTGTGATGTGTGTGATAGGAAGCTGGAGACCGTTTGTGAAACCCCATTGATAATCTCTTCACCTGAAAGTGCTTCTAGCGCAAGTGCTTCTTTCCCTGCAAACCAAGAAAGCAGAACGTTGGAATTGTGGTAGAGAGGGCAGAGAGAAGCCGTCTTCCTCATCCACCATGGGATCTTTTTATTCCTGAGCTCCGAGTCTGCTCTGTGGAAAACCATTTGTAAAAATGGAAACTTGCTGAAATCATGGGACTTCAGAGGAGGATGATTGGAACCCAGTTGCAGAAACAGCTTGTTAACAACGCCAAATCCAAGCCTCGAAATCGCCTCGGTTTTGAAACGAGGCAGAGGTGGATTGAACATACCAGAATCTTGGCGAATCGAAGCTTTGAGCACCCCCAAAGAAACTGTGATAATGACATGATTGGCTAATAAAACTGACCCATCAGAAAAATGGAGCTTCACGGGCCTTGTGTCAGATTCATAGCCGCTGTGCGTGTGATTTTCCGGCTGCCATTGAATTTCTGTGACCTTTTTGCCTAATTGAATCAACCCAGGTGGGAGAACAGAGGCTAGAGATTGAACAATGCTCAAGTACCCTTTAGCAATGGTAATTTCTTCGCCGGGAAACATCCGGTACTCACTTTCAGCATTGTAATCAAGAGTTAACAAGTCACCAGCTGATGTATACGTCCTTTGGGTGTTCTCATGCATTGCAAAGATGGCTTCTTGCAGCAACTTTCTGCTCCAATTTCCATTGCCATTGACCTGCTCATCTCGGTTTTTCGTCAAAACCCAATACGCATCAAGACCTCGCCTTAAGAAAGAGCCGACACTGAGCTTCCCAACACCGCCATTGCTTGCACAAATCCTGGAAGCTTCTTCTCCAAGCTTACCATATTCAAATTCGCCATTGCACACTATTTCAGGACTTTCATCAAACACCTTCTTCCCCTGAGCATAATCCATCAAGTTCTTGAAGAGAGACGAAATGCGGTCCACCACATCCGGTTCCAGCACCAACCCACCTTCGGCGACGGTGGTGGGCTCGTCGGAGGACCCGTCCATGCACTCCCACGGCTGCTCCGACTCGAGCGCATTGATTTCCTGAGCAATTTTATGAACCGGGCTACCTTCAATGCCGTGGATCCAGGTAGCTCCCATCTCAATCCGGTCACCGCCGAACTCCGACGTGTTGATTCTGCCGCCAATTCTCTCCCCGCCTTCCACAACCACGAGCTCGAACAAGTCCTTGGACCCAGCAGCAGTGTACAGCTTGTTCGCCGCCGTGACGCCGGCCATTCCCGCTCCAATGATCACAACCCGTGATTTCTTCGCCACCATTTTTGTTTCAGCTGGAATTAAAGTAATGGGTTTTTGGAATTACACAGAGAGGATGGTGGGAAGTGATAGAATAAAGAAACAAGTGTGAAGAGTGTGAGGTGAGAGATTGAGTTTACTGATGAGGATTTTATAAGTGGAGAGAAAGAGAAGAGAGAAGACTGTTTTTCTTATAAAACTTGACATTTTTAAATTTTTTTTTTCAAATTTAATTTGTTCTAAAATAAAATAACTTATATGAAATGAGTTTCGTCAGTAGTGTTCTAGCCCACTATTGTAATTACTGTTTTGTGAAAAAAAAAAATTAATTACGAATCACATTACATTATTAGAGTAGAATAGTATGACATAGGATTCGATTATAATATGAAAGCTTAATTCTACAATGATGGTAAACTTGTGACATAATGTACGGATGCACATTGGTCACTAAAAGGAGTCCAAGATGGTTCTTTTTATGTCTATCAAGTGTTATAACTTACCAACTAAGCATATCTCGACAGCTTGTCTTGACAATATTCAATAAATTCTCCCAATATCACTCATCAAATTAGTTCGGCATATATCGATATCTGTTGATAATGTGCAACATGGATTGAAAACTTAAAGAATAGAATGCCTCAAAGAATAGATTAAATTTTTTTTCTGCAATTTCATGCTCTATTTCTATCTCAAAAACTTAAACCTTTAATACTCAGACTCCAAAATTTGGGATTTGGATCCTCGCTGGATCCCCTCCCTGGGGATCCTAGGGATCAAAGCACTTGGACCGTTGATAAAAAATCGTACGGCCCTAATTAAATGTTTTTAATATTTTTAAAAGTAAAGCAGCCTCGTTTTATGTAAAAAATATAAAAAATGAAAAAATTGTGGCTGCATGATTTTTTATCAACGATCTACATGTGTTGACCTCTATGATCCCCAAAGAGGATATCCGGCGAGGATCCAAATCCCAAAATTTGAATCATAAATCTGCTACTACTGGACATATGTTCGTTTTCCTAATAAAGACAGGGCTCTACTTTTTTTGCAGGTCTACTGGTAGAAGAAATATGGTTTGATACCTAAAGGACTATTTCTTTATGGAATTGGATCCTCTCCTGAGCACAAGCTCAGAATCTTTCTGATTAGTCTACGTGAGTCGTTGGATTTTGATCCAACGGGATACAAACTAGGAGTCCCTCTAAAAATTATAATAATTGTAACCGTTGGATCAAAATCCAACAGCTCACGTGGGCAGATAAGAAGGATCATGATCTTGTGCTTAGGAGAGGATCCAATTCCTTTCTTTATGAAATCTGTGGCCAGTAGTCCTAGAATCCCTCAGTGCCACTGCCATTTATGTCCAAAATATCATTGATTTTCTTCTGCCACTCTCATATGAATTTTGGATTTGCCATTTTTTACTGCTTGGACACAAGGATCTGATTTTTCTCAGCCAAAAGTTACCAGAGGCAAAGGGGAAAAGTGAAATTTGTGACGTGGGATTTGCCCAGAACATCTGAAACTTTGAAGGGTTTGATGGGGCCTTTCACCAACCTTCACATGCACATCGGGTGAGGGATAGCCCACCAACTGAGCATTTCAACGGTCCTGATCAGTTTGACGGTTTTGATCGGTTTAATGAGTTACTTTTACGTACGGATTAAAGTGTAATTTACCTTGCAACAATGAATAACTCGTAAAGTGTAAAATGAGTGGTATTTTCTTTTGACATTTTAGTTCCATCAGATAGAATGTTAATTAACTATTGTGTTTTTGTTGGACTTGTAGACTAGGAATGAACAACGGTTATGGAGAGCGAGTAACTGCAATTATTTACCCATAATTGTTTATATTCATACTCACATAACCGTTTACCCGTTGGGTAACTGTATAAACGGTTATACTCATACTCATAATCGTGTACTCATTTAACGATAACTATTTACCTGTTTACCAATTTTTGAACCTATTTATCATTTTTTTACCCATTTACCTCTTTTTTCACCCGTAACTTGAAAATTACAAAAAAAAATAAAAACATTTGTCATAATTTTCGTTTTCTAACAATTAAACACCGTTATAAGTACATTTTAGCATACATTTCCCTATTTTAATCATTAAGTCCTCATACAAGTCCAATAATTGAAATAATAGTTTACGAACAATATTTTTCTGCTACACTGAAGCAAGTCTTTAATTATAAGGAAAATTAATGAAAAAGGCTTGAAAACATTGAGTTTTAACGATAAAGACAAAATAAAGGGTAAAATGAATAGTACAAGAATTGACTTTTTAGAGTAAAAATGTGGTTTTTCGTTAAAGTGAACAGTACCGAGAGCTTTTCATTAAAGTTCCCTTAATTATAATCCATATGATTACAAAGTAAGGCTTCTAAAAACAAAAAGTAGTCATTATCTTGAATACTAGATTATTCAAAGCTCCAAAATATTCCGAAACTAAACACTTTTGAATATGAAGGATGAAACTAGAAATTTAACTAAGTAGGGGCACCTTAAAAAATTTGAGCTCCTTTTTTGGACAAATAAAGCTTGTTGATGCACAAAACCGGAGGTCATGGAACAACGTAAATCCAACCGTGAATCTGCAAGAAATGTAAATAACACAAGATGTATCGTGGTTCACCCCAAGGTTTGGGCTACGTCCACACTGATTGTATTGTTTTTCTCTGAGAAGTGAGGGAGAGAGAGAGCTCTGAGAGTGAGAGCTTGGAGAGGGGTGAGGAGCCTTAGGAATTGGCCTCCCCTAATTGTGAGGGTGAGGGGTCCTTTTATAGAATAAGGACTCCTCACTTATTACATATTTGCCCCTTCCTTTATCACATAATTACATTTAAGTCCCCGAGTATTTATACGAGGTCTAAATACGAGCCCTAAATATGGTATAAACAAAGCTAGTTCTTTTACAAATACTGAAAAAATTAATTACAAAATACTCTATTGTCTAATTTTGTTTTTAATTGTTGACAATCTAATGCTCATTTGTACTAATTAACCATATACATACAACTCAACAAGGTTTACACATTAGTGCGTGAGAAAAATATAAAAGACGGAGGGGCATTTAAAAACTAAAAGAGGATTTTTACTATTTTAATATGATTAATTGAATAATCTGCAAAGAAAAAAAATGGGGATAATTAATTGAATAATTTGTAATGAAAAAAAAAGGGATGAGAGAGGGCAAGTGCCCCCACTGGGCTTCACCTCCCTCCGTCCATGTCGAACACTAATGCTTTAGCACGTTTAATCACGAAATCTCATTGACTCGTTGTCACCAAAAGAGGCCTACAAAAGAAATGTAAAAATTGAATTAGTATCCCATTTAGGAACACTGACACCAATTAGCATGAATCCAACAGAGGTAAGTGATCATAGAAGGTTTACATTGTACACTCAGTTATCAAAAAAAAAAAAAAAAAAAAAAAAAAAAAAAAACCAAGAAAACTATCTTATAAGCATTCATAAACAAATAAATCAATAATTAATCAAACAAGTATGAAATCGGAAGGGTAAAACGCACATGAAATCGGAAGGGTAAAACGCACCTTGAGGGGCAAGGAGAGAGAGAGATGAGTGGCGGAGATGAGAAAGAGATGAGCGGCGTAGATGAGAGAGAGGGCAGCAGAGATGAAAGAGAGGGCATCGAGGAGAGATAGATGAGCTGCAAATATGAGAGAAAGGGCAGCAAAGAGGGAGAAATGAGCTGGGGACGGAGCGTTTGAGACTCTAAGTCTAGCAGAAAGATTGAAAATTTAGGGTTTTAATTTTTTTTACATATATTAAATTAAATGGGTAAATGGATACCTGTTATAACCGTGGGTAATACCCATAACCAATGGATACCCGTTATAACCTCGAGTAATACCCATAACCGCCCATTTAAATTTAACGGAAACGGTTATACCCATAACCGTTTGTTCATCTAAACGGTTACCCGTAACTGTAACTGTGAACTTTAAATGGGCGGGTAACCACGGTTACCCAAACTCATGGACCCATCCCTACTTGTAGTATGATACAATGTTCATATTACAAACTAAACTTTTTAATTATATATAAAATATTGACATATAAGTGAGTTTTGAACACTCGAATGCATAGATAAGCCCTCTTAACCAACTATCGCTTCAACTTAAGCTGTAGAACATGAGGTGCAAGAGTGGTTTGTGATTGTATAAACCCTTCTCTTTATTGATGGGATCTATTGTGAAAACCCTAAACTATAGTCTATTTTGGTCAACTTGTGAATTTTTTTTTTTTGAAAATATGACCAGTTAGTGATTTCGTCACCTCACTTCATTCTTCTAGATATCGAAAAAACTCAAAGACAGTTCAACCTTTCTCTAACCTTCACCGTGTAGTAAACGTGTGACCTGAACGGGTATACGAGATTGTGATATAAAGGTAACGAATCTTTGTGGCCATAAGCAACATGATGACATTTGTTAATAATTACTGTGACCCCAACGTTATTATTATTATACACTATACCATGGGATCACACATGTTTTATCAATTCATTTCACAATAATTCAATGATTTCAATTCTTTCTTTAGCATATCCAAACTTTTTTCATAAATCTTCATCAAAGGTAGTGCCGATATGACAATATACATTAAAAAAAAAAAACTAACAAAAAGTTAATAAAAAACTTCATTTTCAATGAAAAGTCATTTTTAAATGTACAGTGAATAGTATCAAGAAAATATATAAATGTGATTTTTCGTTAAAAGTGAACAGTATCAGGAGTGTTATGTTAAAACTTCCTAAAATAATCCATTGTAATGACACGAGTTCACATCAAATGTTGGACTCAATATAAATATGCATTGCTTTCGTATGTGTGAGTCGAGTGCTCGCCCGCTTTTCAGGCAGCATGAGCTATGGGCAAGTGCTTGGTAGGCCAACAGCCAATGAACTGGGCGGGGCACTCGATGCAAGGGGAGCACACCGAGCAAGTACGAGAAAAATTTCTCCGCTCCACTTTATTAAAAGCAAGGAGGTCAAACCAAGGACCTATGGAAGTTGAGGCTCATCCCGGATCAATATTAAATAAAACTATAAGGGGCCTTAGTATTGACCTTTTTTCATTGATTCAATATAAAATGGAGAAGATCATACAGTTCCCTACGGAGACAACAAAAACTGAGATCTCATTCAA